TCTGGATTTATAGATAATTTTGTTATCTGTTCAAAACAGTACGTAGTTTTGGTGTAGGACCATTTTTGGCCAAGTTACAGCAAAAAAACCAAAAGAAAAAATTCCAATTTTTGTCAAAAACCGAAATCCCGAATTTCCCAAAAAAAAACAAAACCGGTTTTTTGCTAAAACAAAGCAAATACTGATTTAAAGTATGGATTGTCATACCTTTCTGAACTCGTTATTAAATTTCCTAACGATTGGCATTTAAACCTTGAGATTTTACTTATTTTTAATTTTTCGCAAAAAATCATGGGGTACCCCCTTATAAAAAAATTAAAAATTGAAGAAAATTTTATTTTTCCAAAATCACACGAAAAGTGTTCTGGATTTATAGATAATTTTGTTATCTGTTCAAAACAGTACGTAGTTTTGGTGTAGGACCATTTTTGGCCAAGTTACAGCAAAAAAACCAAAAGAAAAAATTCCAATTTTTGTCAAAAACCGAAATCCCGAATTTCCCAAAAAAAAACAAAACCGGTTTTTTCGCTAAAACAAAGCAAATACTGATTTAAAGTATGGATTGTCATACCTTTCTGAACTCGTTATTAAATTTCCTAACGATTGGCATTTAAACCTTGAGATTTTACTTATTTTTAATTTTTCGCAAAAAATCATGGGGTACCCCCTTATAAAAAAATTAAAAATTGGCGAAAATTTTATTTTTCTGAAATCACACGGAAAGTTTTATGGATTTATTGCAAATTTTGTTATCTGTTCAAAACAGTATGTATTTTTGGTGTAGGACCATTTTTGGCCAAGTTACAGCAAAAAAACCAAAAGAAAAAATTCCAATTTTTGTCAAAAACCGAAATCCCGAATTTCCCAAAAAAAAACAAAACCGGTTTTTTCGCTAAAACAAAGCAAATACTGATTTAAAGTATGGATTGTCATACCTTTCTGAACTCGTTATTAAATTTCCTAACGATTGGCATTTAAACCTTGAGATTTTACTTATTTTTAATTTTTCGTAAAAAATCATGGGGTACCCCCTTATAAAAAAATTAAAAATTGGCGAAAATTTTATTTTTCTGAAATCACACGGAAAGTTTTATGGATTTATTGCAAATTTTGTTATCTGTTCAAAACCGTATGTATTTTTGGTGTAGGACCATTTTTGGCCAAGTTACAGCAAAAAAACCAAAAGAAAAATTCCAATTTTTGTCAAAAACTAAAATTCCTATTTTCCAAAAAAAAAAAACAAAATCCGTTTTTTCGCTAAAACAAAGCAAATACTGATTAAAAGTATGGATTGTCATACCTTTCTGAACTCGTTATTAAATTTCCTAACGATTGGCATTTAAACCTTGAGATTTTACTTATTTTTAATTTTTCGCAAAAAATCATGGGGTACCCCCTTATAAAAAAATTAAAAATTGGCGAAAATTTTATTTTTCCAAAATCACACGAAAAGTGTTCTGGATTTATAGATAATTTTGTTATCTGTTCAAAACAGTACGTAGTTTTGGTGTAGGACCATTTTTGGCCAAGTTACAGCAAAAAAAACCAAAAGAAAAAATTCCAATTTTTGTCAAAAACCGAAATCCCGAATTTCCCAAAAAAAAAAAAACCGGTTTTTTCGCTAAAACAAAGCAAATACTGATTTAAAGTATGGATTGTCATACCTTTCTGAACTCGTTATTAAATTTCCTAACGATTGGCATTTAAACCTTGAGATTTTACTTATTTTTAATTTTTCGCAAAAAATCATGGGGTACCCCCTTATAAAAAAATTAAAAATTGGCGAAAATTTTATTTTTCCAAAATCACACGAAAAGTGTTCTGGATTTTTAGATAATTTTGTTATCTGTTCAAAACAGTATGTATTTTTGGTGTAGGACCATTTTTGGCCAAGTTACAGCAAAAAAACCAAAAGAAAAATTCCAATTTTTGTCAAAAACTAAAATTCCTATTTTCCAAAAAAAAAAAAACAAAATCCGTTTTTTCGCTAAAACAAAGCAAATACTGATTTAAAGTATGGATTGTCATACCTTTCTGAACTCGTTATTAAATTTCATAACGATTGGCATTTAAACCTTGAGATTTTACTTATTTTTAATTTTTCGCAAAAAATCATGGGGTACCCCCTTATAAAAAAATTAAAAATTGGCGAAAATTTTATTTTTCCAAAATCACACGAAAAGTGTTCTGGATTTATAGATAATTTTGTTATCTGTTCAAAACAGTACGTAGTTTTGGTGTAGGACCATTTTTGGCCAAGTTACAGCAAAAAAACCAAAAGAAAAAATTCCAATTTTTGTCAAAAACCGAAATCCCGAATTTCCCAAAAAAAAACAAAACCGGTTTTTTGCTAAAACAAAGCAAATACTGATTTAAAGTATGGATTGTCATACCTTTCTGAACTCGTTATTAAATTTCCTAACGATTGGCATTTAAACCTTGAGATTTTACTTATTTTTAATTTTTCGCAAAAAATCATGGGGTACCCCCTTATAAAAAAATTAAAAATTGAAGAAAATTTTATTTTTCCAAAATCACACGAAAAGTGTTCTGGATTTATAGATAATTTTGTTATCTGTTCAAAACAGTACGTAGTTTTGGTGTAGGACCATTTTTGGCCAAGTTACAGCAAAAAAACCAAAAGAAAAAATTCCAATTTTTGTCAAAAACCGAAGTCCCGAATTTCCCAAAAAAAACAAAACCGGTTTTTTCGCTAAAACAAAGCAAATACTGATTTAAAGTATGGATTGTCATACCTTTCTGAACTCGTTATTAAATTTCCTAACGATTGGCATTTAAACCTTGAGATTTTACTTATTTTTAATTTTTCGTAAAAAATCATGGGGTACCCCCTTATAAAAAAATTAAAAATTGGCGAAAATTTTATTTTTCTGAAATCACACGGAAAGTTTTATGGATTTATTGCAAATTTTGTTATCTGTTCAAAACAGTATGTATTTTTGGTGTAGGACCATTTTTGGCCAAGTTACAGCAAAAAAACCAAAAGAAAAAATTCCAATTTTTGTCAAAAACCGAAATCCCGAATTTCCCAAAAAAACAAAACCGGTTTTTTCGCTAAAACAAAGCAAATACTGATTTAAAGTATGGATTGTCATACCTTTCTGAACTCGTTATTAAATTTCCTAACGATTGGCATTTAAACCTTGAGATTTTACTTATTTTTAATTTTTCGCAAAAAATCATGGGGTACCCCCTTATAAAAAAATTAAAAATTGAAGAAAATTTTAATTTTCCAAAATCACACGGAAAGTTTTATGGATTTATAGATAATTTTGTTATCTGTTCAAAACAGTACGTAGTTTTGGTGTAGGACCATTTTTGGCCAAGTTACAGCAAAAAAACCAAAAGAAAAAATTCCAATTTTTGTCAAAAACCGAAATCCCGAATTTCCCAAAAAAAAACAAAACCGGTTTTTTCGCTAAAACAAAGCAAATACTGATTTAAAGTATGGATTGTCATACCTTTCTGAACTCGTTATTAAATTTCCTAACGATTGGCATTTAAACCTTGAGATTTTACTTATTTTTAATTTTTCGCAAAAAATCATGGGGTACCCCCTTATAAAAAAATTAAAAATTGGCGAAAATTTTATTTTTCTGAAATCACACGGAAAGTTTTATGGATTTATAGATAATTTTGTTATCTGTTCAAAACAGTACGTAGTTTTGGTGTAGGACCATTTTTGGCCAAGTTACAGCAAAAAAACCAAAAGAAAAAATTCCAATTTTTGTCAAAAACCGAAATCCCGAATTTCCCAAAAAAAAAAAAACCGGTTTTTTCGCTAAAACAAAGCAAATACTGATTTAAAGTATGGATTGTCATACCTTTCTGAACTCGTTATTAAATTTCCTAACGATTGGCATTTAAACCTTGAGATTTTACTTATTTTTAATTTTTCGTAAAAAATCATGGGGTACCCCCTTATAAAAAAATTAAAAATTGGCGAAAATTTTATTTTTCTGAAATCACACGGAAAGTTTTATGGATTTATTGCAAATTTTGTTATCTGTTCAAAACAGTATGTATTTTTGGTGTAGGACCATTTTTGGCCAAGTTACAGCAAAAAAACCAAAAGAAAAAATTCCAATTTTTGTCAAAAACCGAAATCCCGAATTTCCCAAAAAAAAACAAAACCGGTTTTTTCGCTAAAACAAAGCAAATACTGATTTAAAGTATGGATTGTCATACCTTTCTGAACTCGTTATTAAATTTCCTAACGATTGGCATTTAAACCTTGAGATTTTACTTATTTTTAATTTTTCGCAAAAAATCATGGGGTACCCCCTTATAAAAAAATTAAAAATTGAAGAAAATTTTATTTTTCCAAAATCACACGAAAAGTGTTCTGGATTTATAGATAATTTTGTTATCTGTTCAAAACAGTACGTAGTTTTGGTGTAGGACCATTTTTGGCCAAGTTACAGCAAAAAAACCAAAAGAAAAAATTCCAATTTTTGTCAAAAACCGAAATCCCGAATTTCCCAAAAAAAAAACAAAACCGGTTTTTTCGCTAAAACAAAGCAGATACTGATTTAAAGTATGGATTGTCATACCTTTCTGAACTCGTTATTAAATTTCCTAACGATTGGCATTTAAACCTTGAGATTTTACTTATTTTTAATTTTTCGCAAAAAATCATGGGGTACCCCCTTATAAAAAAATTAAAAATTTGCGAAAGTTTAATTTTTTCAATATCACCCGGAAAGTTTCATAGATTTATTTCCTATTTTGTTATCTGTTCAAAACAGTTTGAATTTTTGGTTTGAGACCATTTCTGGCCAAGTTACAGCAAAAAAACAAAAAGAATAAAATACATATATTTTTGGAAATATAGAAATATGTTAATATGGATTGTCATAATTTTCGGAACTCGTTATTGAATTTCCAAATAGAATGGAATTTGTAACCATGTAAATATTTTTTTTTATATATTTTGTATTTATTTCTTTTGTAATATATATTTCCCCATTTTTCCCCAGCTCCTTTGGCTGCCGATTGTGATCTATGTGCCGGCCATCGCCTTTAACCAGGCCACCGGGGTGAACATCCACATAGTGACCCCGATCGTGTGCGTGGTGTGCATCTTCTACACCTGCATCGGGGGTCTGAAGGCGGTGGTTTGGACGGACGTCATTCAGACGCTGATCATGTTCGGTGCGATGGCCCTGGTTTTGGTCAAGGGAACAATGGACATAGGAGGACCTTCGGTCGTGTGGCAGAGGGCGCAGGAAACGGGGCGCCTGGAGAGGCCCAATTTCAGCGGGGACCTGAGCGAGCGGTACACGTTCTACTCCCTGGTTTTGGGCGGTGTAGCCCACTGGCTGAAGTCGAATGCGATCAGCCAGAATATGATACAGCGCTACTTGTCGCTGCCCACGCTGCGGGATGCGAGGATTGCCATCTGGACTTTCATAGCGGGGGTCCTGGCCTTCCTGATGATCTGCGGCTATACGGGTCTGCTGATCTACGCCACCTATGCGCAATGCGATCCCCTGGAGACCAAGTTGGCCCAGCGGAATGATCAGCTTTTGCCGCTTTTGGTGATGGAAACACTGGGCGCATATCCTGGTTTACCCGGTATCTTTGTGGCCGGCGTCTTTAGTGCGGCTCTGTCTTCGCTTTCGACGGGATTGAACTCTTTATCAGCCGTCGTCCTGGAGGACTTTGTGAAGACCTCGCGGAAGAGTCCGCTGAGCGAGGCGCAAACGGCCTTTGTGATGCGCAGTGTGGTCGTGGTATTTGGCATCATATTCGTGGCCCTCGTCTTTGCCGTCGAGAAACTGGGCGCCGTTCTGCAGCTGACCATCACTTTGTCCTCGGTGGCCAATGGACCTCTGCTGGGCATCTTCACCGCCGGCGTCATGCTGCCATGGGTTAATTCGAAAGGAGCTCTGCTGGGAGGATTCAGTTCGCTGCTGGTGATGGCCTGGATGTGCGTGAGTGCCCAGCGGGATCTGGTCACCGGGGATCTGGTCTACAAGCGGAAACCCTACTCCACGATGGGCTGCAACTACACGTTCGCCGGGGAGCCGAGGGAGTTCGCCAGTCTGTCGCTAGATGGCGACATCAGGTGAGCAATTTATTGATCTAAAGTAGGAGTTACTTAAGTGTTGAAGGAATTATAAAATTACAACTTAAGCATATTCGAATGACGTATACATAGGGACCATTAAATAATTCGAAAGAATTGGCGTGACTTTTTCTCTTTTTTTTTTTAACGGACGTAAAACTATGTTTTGGTCTAGCCAGCAAGTAATGCTGAAGAATTCGCGTATCTTTTCCATCTTACAATCATTTTCATTGATACATTTTGGTGTTTCCGTGCAGTTCCAGCCCGAGTGCTCCCTTCCAGCTGTACCGCATCTCGTATCTCTACTTCACGCTATTCGGAGCCCTGGTCACCATTGTGGTGGCCCTGGTCACCAGTCTCCTGCTGCGGGAATCGGACTTGGATGGCGTGGACACCCGGCTGCTGACGCCGTTTGTGAGGCGCTGGCTGGAGCGGCGTCGCCATCGCCGATCGGAGATCCCAGATTCTGGCCAAAAGGGCGGCAACAAACTGGAGACGAAAACGTAAAACGGGGATTTTGAGGCGGAGAAGGCTGACCGGCATCATCATCCTGGCAATGTTCCTTTTTGGTAGCTTAGCAAATATTTAAAATAAAACACAATTCATAATTATTTGGGCTCCTGTTGTCCTCTGCGAAATTGCGAAATGGGTTCAAAGCAGTTTCCTGCGCTGCCTTCTCTGTAATTAGAAAAATGCCCGCAGTTATGGTCCAAAAATGGTAATGGGGATGGGGGATGGGCACATATAACCCGAGCCGGCAAATCAAAACGCCGGCTGCCCAAACAGAAGTAAAAAACTAAGGGTAAGAAAAGTAAAGTTTATAAAGCCGACGATTTCCATACTCTCCTATTAATTTGAATGCATAAAAATATATATTCCACAAAAGGAGGTATTTTAAAATTTTAATTTAATGAAATTCGCAACTTTTTCGTATTTATTTCCTATCACTTTTATTTTTAATATAATAATATAATTATTTAATTTTTTAATACATTAAAGATTAAATAATGATAAAGAATTTGCCTAACTGTTCTGATTTATTTCATATTATTTATATTTTTTAATTGTGATTCGAGGCATTTTAATATTTTATAAGACTTTCTCTTTGATTACCATGCCCCCCAAAAAAGTGCAAAAAAAGGATCGGAAAATAGAGAACCCCTTTCTGAAGTGAGGGTTCCGCTTTCAAGTGCCAGGCACAAGTGATTGGGCTGTGAACTCTGTGTGTCTGGCCAAGGTCAAGTGGGTGGGTGGGCAGGCTGTGCTAACCAACCCAAAGGGTTCCGTTTTCACATTAGTTTTACCCTCTGCCGTTAATTGAATATTTACTGCTTTTCATGTGTGGTCAGTTCAGTCTGCAACTATTTTGTTTGGGGTCACCATAGGGCAGCCCCCACTGTATCTGTATGCTTAGGTCGTTTATGCAGCAAATTGAATTGTTAATGAGCTGACAAATGTTTGCGAAATTTGTTTTTCCTTAGCCAGTGTGTAGCTCCATCCCAAAAACTTTTATCGATGATGAAGACGACATATGTTTGGGGTTATATAGAGGTATGTGCAGGTAAAAACTGGTAGCTCCCTTGGATTTCTGTGTCTCTTAATTAGCCGACTGCAAAAATAATTTTGCACAAAAGAGAGTCAGCGGCGAAAATGTCATCAGAATGCATAATGACAGTTTCCGGACTGTGTGGGTTTTTAGTTTCCCTCTTTTTTCCGGCTTTTTTGAAAATCTCTACAGGAGCGGCGGTGGAACAGGTGCGCCACCTAGCGGCATATTCAAAAACTATGTGCTGTATGCATGGCCAGTGACAGGGGTTAAGGGGGGCTAAGGGGGCTCAGGGGCTAAGGGGTCTGGGGGTCAGGGGTTAAGGCACAGCGACAGTTGTCATATGGGTGGATTGTTTTTTGGCCACGGCAGAAACTGAAACGGAAACGGAAGCTGGCAGCGCTAACGTGCCAAACTGCCAACTACAAAAGCCAACAACTCCTCGCTCTGTTAACTTGTTTATGTCGCCGTGTTGCTTTTGTGTTACTTTTTATGCTCAAATATAATTTGCTCGCTTCCCCTTTTTTTCCATTACCCCTTTGTTTTCCCTATAATATCAGGCAGGTTATATTGAATATTGAATTTTTTAAGATTGAATTTCTCACATCAACTGTCATTTTTAGATTTTAATTTTAAAAAATTTTCCAACATTTTTTTTTTGGTTTAGTAAGTAAACCTAAAAATACTAATTTATATTAAAAGAATTTTATATATATTTTTTTTAGTTAGGAATATTTTAATACATTTTTTTTTTATAAATTTGCATCATTGAATTCAAAAGGATTAAAAAAAATCAATCCAACAACACATATTTTATTTTGTATTTTAAAATATTTTTACATGAAATGTAACGATAGATTTATTTAAAAATATTCAGTAAGTTCCTATCAGTAAGAGTAACTAATTCAGTTTTACCTCTACAATTTTAACAAAACAAAAGCCTTCGCGTGTGTAGTTCCTTTTCCTAATTTTCACAATTTCCCCCATGCCTGCCGGCCTTATAAATGCCAGTGACAATTTGCAGCGGGCCAACCTCCTCCAACCTGCAGGCCCTAAAACCCCACAACTCACCTCCTTTCGTTTTTTGAGGAGGGTGAAAGGTGGCGGGGCCAGGCACAAAAGTCATTTTTGATTGTTTTCATGAAAATGAGCATAGAAAAATTATAATTAAAATTCATATGGAAATTGTCGAAAAAAGGCAGCCACTACGAAATGGAAGGCGAGAACAATGGACCACTGATGTTGTTGCTGCTGTTGTTGACCAAAAGATTTCATCTAAAAGAGACCCAAGAAATGCAGTGGTCGAAAAGGAGGGGGCGCTGAGCTGCGGGTTTATTGTTTGCGGGGAACATGTGTTTCTCCCCCCGAAAACCCTCCTCGGCTTTGCCTCAATCTTTTTCCTGCCAAAACAATGTCAGCTTACAGAATTAGAAGAGCGCCGAAGGGGGATAAAAGAGGGTGGTTTAGGGGGTGGCCTCTACCTGTGCACCAAACACTTGCACATATAAATAAGAACACGGGAAAAAATCGGACCTCTGGTTAGGGCCATAGAAATTAATAAGAGGTTAAGAATATTTTATCTTCACAATTGTTTGCCTTTTCAAAAGAAGTTATTAAAATTTAATCAATTTGGAGAGCTAGCCTAGAGAATTTCTTCCTAACCTGCAGTTAGCTATGTGTTAAATACATTCTATCCTCCAATTTCTTTAATTTCTTAGCCAAATATATATTATATACATTTATTCTCTCTGTGCACACAAAACACAATGGTCAGAGGAGCCAGATGGAAAAACGCATGCCGGCTGCTCATTTTCTTCTTGTTGTCGTTTCATTTTTGGCACTTTTATGCGATAAAATATTTAATTATATTCGGCAGCTTCGTTTGTGCATTGTGCGGTGGCCTTTTACAGCCGTTTTTAGCCCATTTTACATCACCTTGGGGAGTGGGCGTGGCCGAAATTGCAATTTGAGTGCCTGCCTCAAAGTATGCACTGATTTCGGATGCCGGTTCCTTTTCAAAAGGTTTTAGTCTGCAGTGGATTTACAACAGGGTACATGGTACATTTCAAAAGCAACATGGAATATTTTAAATATAATATTTAACCGGAGGTTATATATTTTAAAGATTGCGTTTTTCATTTGGGTTAAAACAATTCTTTATTTTGGTGCTATTAAGCACTACATGCTTAGAACTTCTTATTTTTTAACCGCTACTTAACCCGAGGTTAAGAATATTTAATCTTCAAAATCAATAGTAGTTATTTAATTATACAAGTTGGAGGAGCTAACCCCAGAAAAATTCTTCCTAACCTGCAGTTAACTATGGGTTAAGTACATCTTATCTGTCAGTTACTTGGAACCTCGAGTTTTTTCTCCTAACCAGTTGCCACTGTTGTTGGGGCTCTGGTCGTTGTTGTGGTCGTCGTAGTGGTCGTGGTTGTCGTCGTTGTGGTGGTCAAAGGTCGTTTGATGATCGTTATCCGTATGCAGCCGGCGTGATCCGGATGTTCGCCGATGGGCGCCGTGTCGCCAAGGGTCAGGCACTGCAGGGCAATCAGCAGGCCGAATATTATAGCGTATATGGACGTGCACTGCCTCATCGTGATCCTCGGCCACATAACTCCCCCGAATAACTGATCGACTGCCATGGGGGCCCCATTCGCTTTTATAGTTCTCTATAGCTCTTCTTGCAGCTCCATTCAATTGGCCACAATGACGGCGGACAATTGGATATGCTGTATCAACAAATGCGATCGCAAATTGCAGCCTCACCTCTGGCCATGGGTCGTGTGATCCGGTCGATTCGATATATATAGTGTGGTCTATGTATTTCCCAACATTGAGCATCAGATAGCTTTAATTTGATGTATTGTGGCGCTGAACTTTTGTCGAATTAATGCCGATTTAAATCGCTTCGTGGCGGGAAGTCCGGGTAAATCCGGTTGCAAGTTGAAAAATTCATTCACAAAATGTATTACAAAAGCTTTAAGATCCGATAGTAAATCATTAAAATTATAAAGAACTTAAGAGCTGGAAAATTAATAACAAATTTTAATTGTGCTCTTTTGTGTGGTCTAATGGTCTATTTTCACCTTTCATTTCTATAGTTACAAATTCATTTGCTTATAAAAGAGTTCGCTAAGTTGAAAAAAAGTCAATTTTTTGATCAAATATTTTAAAAATGGAAGAAAAAGAAGATAAGAAAGACCAACAACCTATGAATAGGTAAAAAGTTAAATAATCTAATAGGTAATATATTTTTGACAAATAAAAATGTAGCAAATTTGAATTGGAGATATTTTTACCTCTTTGCCGTATATTAAAAAATGATTAATTTCGTTTCTTTTTTTGCTGGAAAGTTTTTTTTATTTATTTTAAAGCTGAAGGACTACATAGAGTTACGGTTCACAAAAAGGGTTCATTTCATAGGTTCGTCAATGTTTCAAGATTTCAGTTGGGATCTATATCCAATCCATCCTTTTATCCCGAAGAGCTGGCGGTGGTGGTGCGAGGTGGCGGAGGAGCACCACGCGGTGGTGGCGAACCCGTGGAGTTGCGATGATGACCGGCAGTCTGCAGACCGCGCACCAAGTTAACTCCAGCCACGGAGAATTGCTCGAAAATTAAATATATTATGTAAGATATATGTGAAATTGATTAGAAGTTTTTCCGATTTTGCTCACCAGCAGACAGCAGCTGAGGGCCAAAAAGAAGAGCAGATAGAAACGCATCTTGATGTGGAATGGTTGGCATTGGCATTGGCCTCGGCTTTTATGGCCATCGCTTGTTTGCTTGACTTTCGAACAAATCTCTAATTGCTAGCGTAATTGGTATGTCACATTAAATATCTAATTGAGGTGTTGATTTTGTAATAATATTATTTCAACTCGTCGGCAATTATCTTGTGCACTGGAGCTCTCTCTTTGCCATTAGAGAACTCTGTTTTGGTTGCAGTTTATACTGTATAAAATAAAATATAGCTTATAAATATTTAATATATATTATAAATTTTTTGTATATTTTTATAAATATTTTAAAATTTCTTTTAGACTTCTTACAAAAAATCCATTTTATATTGGTAAATATTATTTGAAATTCTTTTTGTTAAGCAATATTTTGGTGTTTATTTTTGCCATCTTAGGGCAAACACGTTCCAATTGATGTCTCTTTGAGGGCTGGTATAACAACCACCCCCGACTAATAACTAATGCCACTAAAGCCACTCGAGATTGCGGCACTCGTGACTTGTCGTCGGGCATTTGATGAACTGCCACAGGATGTGGATATGTATTTGGATTGGCATTGAGATTTCAGATTCCGTCATCCAGATAGGCATAAACGTGTCGGGAAAGTTTTATGACCAGTTCCTTTTACCTTGCGCCAAATCTCCCCATCGAATCCAGTGACTGAACTTTGACATATTTGTTGCAGAGAGAAAAATTATTATTAATTTTATTTATACCACCAAAAATAATGTATATAATATAAGTATAATATATAAAATAATATATTTTAACTCCATGTTTTAGTTTAAAGTTTTAACCTTGTATTCACTTTATAAATATAAAGAAAAATATTAGTTTATTACCAAAATTTATGAATATTTTTCTTAAATCTAATCTATATCTAAATTCCACGCTTTAAAAATAATTTTTAGTATACGATTCACTTATAAATAATAATATATTTATTAATATTTGGTTGATTTTACGTAGTTTTCTTCACTGTAACACTACCAAACGCAGTCATAAACTACCTAATGCCTGAGAAAACAGGGGAAGAATCATAAAAGTCCCCAAACCGAAGACGGTGGCCCACTTTTATTGGATTTTTACGATAAGCCTGGCTACGTGTATTTTTCTCTCTTTGCGATTCGCATTTTTGCCAATGATGATTCGAAAAGCACTTTCGGCGCAAATTGCAGCTGTTATCGCTGATCAAATGGCACAAAGGACGCAGGACATATATTTCTACAAGGGATAGGATATGCGAGAGGCACAAATCTGGCGAGTGTCTCCGGTTGGAATGCAAATCAAACAAACAATAAATTGAATCAGGACATTGTTGAATGTAACAGATAGCCCCCGAAAAACAATGGGGCAACGCAGGCTGAATATGTATATGCATGCATATCCTGGAGACATTAAGGATATCCTTGAGTAGATGCAATTTTCTAACCAATATAATTCATAAATTTATTTTCAATCCTTTCCGCACATAAATTTTCATATTATGCACACTCACTCACAGACACTGTGAGTCGTCGTCCTTATTTTTCTCCCAGGCCTATTGTCCTGCGGCATGTCCTTCGTCCTGCGTCCTGTGTTCTATGTCCTGTGTGCGTTTGGTTATTATTTGTCGTCGTGCTTGTCATTATTTATATGGGCAGGCGAGAGATAAGTTGCTGCAATTGTGGCACCCCCTCCTAAAAAGGTTCAGAAACCCCCCTTCAAAACAGGATGCAGTCCAGGTCCTGGCAATTACACAAGCACAGATACAAAGATACAAGGATGCAAAATGTCCTTCGGTGTGCGTGCGTTTGTTTGCAGGTTGTTGGCCCAAAATTTTGATTTATAAATGCCAACACCGAGCAGGTTATACCTATTCCACCTACCATCCACCACCCACCCACCATGCAAATTTCCCCCAGGAAACTGCAGTTACTTTCGGCTGACAAACGTCCCCAGGATCTGAGGAGAGTGCAACTCAAGTGGCCATTAATATATCAGTTCAATTCATATTTGAAATTTTGCATTTCCTAACAGGACGAGAGGCGAGGAGCGAGATGCGAGGACGAGAAACGAGGACGAGCCACAGATCCTTGCCCAGCTGGCACCTAGATATAACCACTCCTTTGCCCGGAATTCCCCCGCTCCCACCACGCATACGATTATGATTTGTGTCTTACTTAATGCACAGAGTCCTTCGAATTTCGCACACTCAAAGAAATAGTTTGGGGCGAAAATTCAGGGGATGACAATAAAAACATGTATATTTTTTCTCTAAAAAACACGAATTTTGGCCGAAATATGGTCCCAATATGGAATGTCATACCTTGCCGAGCTCGTAATAAAATTTCCAATCGATTTGCATTTAAATCTGAAACTTTTGATTTTTGTCCATTTTTTGCAAAAAATTATAATGTACCCCCTTATAAAAAAAATTGAAAATTGGCGAAAATTTTATTTTTTCAAAGTCACACGGAAAGTGTCATGGATTTAATTATTATTTTGTTATCTGTTCAAAACAATATGTATTTTTTGTGTACGACCATTTTTGGACAAGTTACAGAAAAAAAAAACAAAAAGAAAAAATTCATATTTTTGTCAAAAACCAAAATCCCAAATTTCCAAAAAAAAAAAACAGTTTTTTGACCGTAACAATGGAAGTATTGATCCAAATATGGAGTGTCATACCTTTCTGAACTCGTTATTAAATTGATGGGAATCGTTAGCTTGGGTTATTAGCTGCCCAAAACATTCATTCTTTTAGCTGTGGGTCTTGATTTGCCCAAATTGCGTTCAAAAACCCGATAAAAAAATGTTATTTTTGTCTAAAATTTTAGTCCACACCTTTTTTCGCGCAGTGCACTGCACGGTGCCCAGCGGCACTGAACTGAACTGGTTAGCTGTTAGCTGAGTGGAGCCGGCGTCGTCTCAATCTGATTGATTTAGAATTCCAATTGAGACTGCATGAAATATGTTTGCTTCGTGTCTGGCTTCTGGCTGCTGTCGCTGCCGGCGGTCCTGAGAGTCCTTCCTTGGGTTCCAAGGCCCCTTTGGATCCTTGGCCCCTTAGCCGCCCCCTTACCCCCCGTTAACCCCCCTTCCCATCGGGCGGCACAGCATTTATGCATGGGCATATCCTTTTGCGAAATTTGCATTTTCGAACAATTGCAAACGGCAGCAGGAGCAGCAGCAGGAGCAAAACAGCAGGAAGAGCAGCAGGACAACGACAACGACGACGACTTATTGGTATTTCATTGATTTATGACACTTGTGAAACAATTTGGAAAATCACAGATTAGCAGCCGAGAGCAGCACTAATTATACCCTACGGTTCATTGGGAGAGCACCTACCTCTCTCCCTTGTTTTTCGGGGCAAATGCCGAAAATTCTTTGTCATGTAAATCGGTACTAATTGCAAGGCAAGCGACTAGCTAACCAGAGGTCTCTGCCATCTTTTAGTTGTATTTTATTCTTTAAAAGTAAATAAATTCCAGGACACAGGCTTCGGTGCCCACACCTTTATTTATTTAATTTGGGTTGGCAGAGTGAGAAAATAGAGAGCACCTGGTGAGCTGTCTAGTAATATGCAAATTCGAACTAAATAATTTGAACTCAAAACCAAAGCAAAGCTAAATATTCTCTGCCCACACACACAGTATTTATTAGTTACTTACCTATAAAGGGTATCTGTGCGATTCCCGCAAGCCGAATCGAATTAAACCAAGCGAAGCCCCTTCATCATCATCGCATCTCGTCTCCATCTTCCTGGTCCGAAGTTGCCTATCAGCAGAGGAGAGAAGACCTGCAGACTCGCAGAACAATTGAACTTTGTCCTCCTGTTTGGCCCCCTAACCCCTACTTAACCCCCCCTTAACCCCTTGGCACCCCTTAACCCACTTTCTCTGCCGTTTCTGGCCATCGTCTTTGCCAACTGCGCCTCCAACTGAGATTTATATGTCAGCCGAAGGGGGTGGGTTAGCGTTAACCCCCCGCTGACCCCCTGCTAACCCCCGGCTAACCCCCCTCTAACCCGAATGGACGACGTGCAGTGATTAGGCTACCAGGCTACAAACGATTTGTTGCATGTTGTTGCAATTGATTGTTGCAATTTCAATTTTGAATTATGAGGCCTGCCTTGCCTTTTGGATCCTGGCATCCGTTTCCGTTTAACCCCTTGCCGCCCCTCGTGTTGCATGTTGCTGCTGTTGCTGTTGCTGCTGCTGCCTGTGTGCAATGTGTTGCAAGTTGCATTGGCAGCGTCATTCAAGTGTTTAGTGATTTATTGAATGCCGTTAGAGTTGTCGTTGCTTCTCCTCTGCTGCAATTGCAATTGCATTGCATTGCATTGTTGCTATTGCCATTGCAATTGCAATTGCCTTTGGCCATGATATCCTCTGTACTCTCTGTCTGCCCCGAAACAACCCAAAACTCTGAGATTAGCACAATGGCTTTGAGCACTTTTGACAGCTAAGATTTGTTTATGCCCAAACCAGCAACAGCCCCTTTCCCCCTTTAACCCCCGGCACACTCACTCTTAACCCATTAGCCTGCGTCTGAGAGATGTGTCCTTATCTTGCCGGAAGTCTGGGCTCTGGGCTCGTGATTCATGTCTTTGCATATTGGTAACAAATTTGTGGTAATTGATTTGAAATTGATTAATTAAGTCTCCTCCTCTTGGTCACTAATTTAAACCGTAAGTTCTGTGCTTTCTAAAGACCACCATTTAAGGCTAGACAATTGGAATTGGAATTTCAGGAGAATTTAAAAATTAAATTAAAATAAGATACAAAAAAAATATAAAAATATAAAACAAATTTTATTAAAATGCCAAAATATCTAACAAAAAATAGAAAATGTAAAAGAATTCATTTACAAGTTGTTACAGTTGGAAAACTATTATGAAAAATATTTGGCATCAATAAAATGACTAAAGGAATAGACCTCAGAAATATAGTTTCTTTTGAAGAGCAGTTAGAAGCACTTTTAAAAATTCCAAAAACATTGAAAATTGTTTATTAAATTGATACT